TTGCAGTAATAAATGCACTCACTTGTGATGTTCCATAGTAAAAGGAAATATGTGTTTTGACGCTTCTCGATTTTTAATGGTTACGTGGCTAAGAACATTCGGTACGGCAAACTATAAAATTCAATAATCTCTACAAACTTCCAAATGTAAAATAATAAATTTATGGTAGGAGAAATAGAAATTTGTTTTGAAAGTTCTATCATAAAAACATAAAGATGAGTTCCAACCTAAAAAAACACTGCAGAAGATGTAAAAACTTCACAAGAATGTTTCTTAACAGTTTCTCCAAACATTGATTTTACGAAGTAAACATTTTGTGTGAATAAGGAATAAATAAAATTCATCTGTCTGTTGTTAACTTTAACTAAAACCAACCTTCTATACTTTTTACATTAAGTTGAAGATGAAGTATATATATACTTTTCTATGTGTGGTGTGTTAGCGAATTTCGAGTCCCACGTACGCGATCGTGGATGCGCACCTCTGAGGAGTCTCATACTAAGATTAAATGGCCGTACAATGCTTCCAGGTTTTCAATGGTAGTCTAACTTAGATTGACTCATGAACTGAACTGTTAATATCTCGTAAGTTAATTTAAGGAGATTTGCATTGAGATAACATTTCGTACACTTTTATTATGTTAATTAATTTAATATGAATAACGTACCTTGTCTTTCGGTGTATTTTCACTTGCATCCTTTAATTGATTTAGCTTTCAAGTAACAGTTGCTTAATTTAATGCGTTTCTGTAATAAATTCATGCTGAGTTCAATAACTTTAAAATTGAACTAACTTAAATGTAAATTAATCCTCTTGTGGTCTTTCTCAAATACATTTTCTTCTCACAAGTTTTTGAATTAATAACACTGAAGTATTGTGGTCTTTTAGTCATTTTATCTATTTAGTTTCCATATATCTAACTTCATATTGGTAAAATCTTTAAATCATTCATAATTTGTAACTTACAGTACTCAATCTCATTACATAACAGCAGTAATCTATATCTTTGTATTCATTTTTCATTTATTATTATGTCTGGTTATCTTTAAAACAATGAAACAGTAACAATCATGTAAAATAACACATAATAAATGAATCAATCACGCAAAACATTATTTCTCACGAACTTACTTCTGTCTACCTATGCAATAATTATACATTTATTATTGTTTTTAAGATTGGTTCACTTATATAAAAATGAAATGGGGGGAGGGGGTAATAGATTCATAGAAAATATAGTATCTAGTATATAAAATAACGTAGAATAATGCTATTATATAATAATACAACAGTATTATTTCGATAGATACTTAGTTACTGTGACGTAATATGAGTCAAAGTGTTTCTTTTTCTCACAAAAAAAGGTTTTTATGTAGCTTTTTTCCCTATAGATTATCGTTTGGAATGTTTAATAACTCTCACGTATTACAACGAAATGAATATTTGAATAATTAAGATATATGCATAATATACTTCATGATGATTTTTACGCTGTTGCAAAAGATTTTAAACCACATAGATACTGTTTAGACTCTCGTAGACTCATTTAGAAGATATATATAGTAAACTGAACTACATAGACTGTTCTTGAGCTACTCTTTCAATGACCTAGGTAAATGTTTCACCATATTCAACTTTTCAGAATACTGCAAATAATAATGAATGATTCAATGTTCTTAAATTGGGTTCAACTTCAGGGTTAGTATTCAGAGTTAATATTATGGCCAAGAATTAGAATTTAGAGTTTTAAACTAAGGGTTAGGATTAAGATGTAGAACTTAGGGTTATAGTTATGAATATGGTAGTGATTTAGGCCCCCGTCTGAAAGTTAGTGTGAGGGTCTGACAGTCTATTTTACCGTTAGTTTATATGCACCTCAATCCCAAATCTTTAACCTTAAAATTAAGAATCTAATAATAGTTAAGTTATTAAAACTAAACATCCACGGTACATAGACAACATTCTGGTTATGTGTATGAGTCGTTACTCTAAAGCTATGTACATTTTCATCATTTGCTCACCTTTATAGTTAAGCATAATTAACATGCATGGTTGGTAATACATAATCAACTATTAAATCATACAATGCGTTTGGATCGTACTTTATCATTCAAAACTACTTGGTTTACGGAAGGTAACTATGATACAAGATGGTAACAAACCAGTGACAATATCTGAAACATCAAAGAATAACAGTTTTAATAGCAAAGGAAAAACATTGTAACACTAAAAAAAAGCCCAGTTCAATTCAGTTAGCAAACATTTCTTTTCGTATATATCATTAATTGAAACATTCTTTTAGAAATCATCTGATTTATCAACAATCAATCTTTTACCATTACATTTTCTTGCTGACTTAAAGCACTTACATGAGATGATTTTGTTTGAGGAATACACTGGAAAAATGAGGAGACTGTCAAACGCCTAAAGCAATAATTTTAGCATGTTCGAAACGCGTTTTTCTGAATAAATTATGCAATGTGCAGTCTCAGAACTGGTCTGTATAAGCATATAAACTAAGGATGTTAAGAGAAGTAGTCAAGAGTATCATTCCCTCATTAGACAGGGTGAGTTAGTGTATCACGAGATTTCGGCACAAATTTAGAAAACCTGGTTGACTTTTGCCAGATCTCATCACCTGTGGTATAAGCTAGCCATCTGTCTACGAACTGAAGGGAGGGTATACTGTACAGCAGTTCCCTCCATCTCACTTCATGAGTGCAAAACGTGACCTTTAAAAACAGAGAACATTCGTAGGTTAGTATTATTCAATTATAAGTTTTTTCAAAGCATTTATCGTTTGTTTTTGAACAATCTAGATGCAATTCTGAATTTAAATGCAAAGTATCGCTATATGTTTAACCACAGACTATCTCAAAGTACGGCAATAGTTGATGTAGGAATTAGTAAGACTTAGATTTACATGGTTCCTAATCGTTCGCAGTGGCACAAACACATTCACTCCTTCTTCACTCATAAATATTAATTTCCTGAGTTCCTGATATATTTTTTAATGTTTCAATAATTTATCTTTTCTTTTTTATTACCATTTAACCTGTTACTACCTCTACTGTTCAAGGATTTCTCCTGACAATTGTATCTCATTGTACTAATAGTGCATGATAGCTTGAGCCTGCATACTGATATTTTAGGTTTTACATTGTGTCCAACTCAATGAATAACTAACTGATTCACAACAATATTTCAGCCTCATTTGTTAATATGTTCAATGAATATGATCACGAAGAACTAGTTAGTGTGATCTTTGAAAAGAAAATTTTCTAGTCTGAATGGTTTTTATTTTATAATTTTTATTCATTAATCCTTTCATAAAAGAAACATACTGAGATTAGTAACAAAAAATATTAAAAGTGAATAAATTACATCTTCCATTAGAAAAAAACTATCGGTGTATACAGTGAATTCTTTAAATAGACAGTAAATGGTATATACAAATCAAATATCCATAGCCTTAAAAAAAACCTTTAAAACAGTAGACATAAATATAGCATAATTCATAAGAGAAAGCTACATGATATAAAGTGATTTGAACTCTTTCAAATCAATCGGTTCATGATCTCGATCAAAAACCTAACAATCTCCACAAGCCCTAAACTGATAATTAAATCTTAATTTGTTTGACCAATAACATTCAAAAAATACAGTATTATCAAATGATCTTTAATGTCATTGATAAAATATTCAAAAGATGGATAGTTTCATTGTTTCCTAATATGGTCGATATTATTAATTCAGTCAACAAGGTTATGGTTCATAAAATATGGTCACTTTCCTCAATAACCATCAATGTCTCTTATACATAAGATATAACAAATTAAAAAGATTTTAATAATCTAACCAACTTTATAGAATTCAGTTCAGAATGTTTATTATTATTATCTAGATGATAGTTTCGTCAAGTTTTCAGAAGTTTTTCTTTTTTTTTTGGTTTTATTATTATTTTAAAAAAGCCCATCATTTCTGCATACTTAATCAATGAATAAGCAATGAAGTGAATTAACCTTTATAATAACACGTTTATCTACGCATGAAAACACTTGTCGTTCATAAATGCATTATAGCATAAATGAAATTAGATTGTAAATTGAATGTTCATATTATTCAAACAAAATATTGAAAGAGAAATAACAACAACAACAACAAAAATGAAGTCCTATATTTTTTGTTCACATTTATCCCCATATAATTATGTCATTAAAATGAGGAGAACGAAACTTTCAAAATATTCCATTGTGAAATGTGTCGTTCTATTTTTTTTTTGAAGAATCAAATGTAATAGTTATCAAAGATGTCAATATTGTAGTAAAAGTTGAAATGAAATATGTACATCAGAGAAATAGGCGCTAATATAGTTTAATTTTATTTGACACAGAATAATGATATGTATTTTGTTTCTTTTAGATATCTGATCTAATCACAGAAGGTTATATCTTTCGTAAATCAATAGTGAAGACTATCAATTTCAAGTCCACTTATATCTAAGGAAATGTAGAATTCTAGTTAATTTATACATTCATATACATGTAAAACAATATATTTTATTGTTTTTCAACCTTATTAGTATTATACGAGACAATGCAGTGAAGTTAAATCAAATTGGTTATAAGATAGGTATCATCCATGATAATGGATGATGGTTGGTTTTAATATTACGAGATGCCTAGAGTTGAAACAGTGAACCATCAAATTTAAACATAATGATTAAAAAGGTAACAAGCACTCCGAGTGACATTATAGTATTTTTGTCCTATCCTTAAACGAGCTGTGATCGCTCATTACTCAAGAGTTATAAATAAAAATTAAATATATGTACAATGTTTCCTTTTTTGATAGTTTAAGAGTTAGATTCAGTTACTGATCCAAACTATAAACTAATTAATCTATATGAACCTCCTTCATTGTGGACTATTCTTGTGGAAATGAGTTTTCCTCATCGCACATTCAAGTGTATCCTTTTTAATTTTTAATTGATTATCTAGGTCCAGCAAAAATTATCCACTCTCCACTTGATACAAAGGCAATAGCCGGAGAATCAGTCCTATTTTTCTGCCAAGCTGAAGGTAATCCTCTTCCCAGAGTTGTCTTCCGATGGAATGATAATGAAATCACTCAAAATCGACCAGGTTTACAATTTAAAGAATTATCCGCAGATAGTGTTGCTCTACGTGCTAAATTAGAACCAAATCACAACGGTGATACCGTCACGTGTTTTGCACAAAATCATGTTGGATCCGATTCAGCTACGGCACAAATTTCTGTATACAATGCTAATGAAAGTGAGTTGTACAACCATTTCTCCTTCTCTTGACCGTTTTATGAATGCTACACTTTATTATATAGTTTTTATGGTTAGTAATGAAGTTAGTTTCTATTGAGTTTACAGTTCAAGGCATAGGGATCACTTACATGTCATTATTACATCTTTATATCAGTTTATTGTTCTTACATCGTTATGTACAGTATTATATAATAAGTGCTTGAGTTATCTTAACTACTTGCTTACAACTATTGTCCATCTTGAGGCATAGGCTGCCACACAGAAATGTTTGAGTAATTTAGCTGTAGATATTTATAACTGAAGTTTAATCATAATCTGCTGATATATGTGCATTCTGATTAAAATTTAGTTGTAAACATCAGCAATCGACTCAAACTCATATAAAAATAACATTTGTCGAACCAGATAGCGATCACCTGAACTCACTAGTTCAGTAGACAGTGCATTCAGTAAATTAATTTAAACGTGTTGCTTTTGGTTTGCGATATGAACATCAACACTAGAACTCAGTATTATCTGGCTAATTAGTCCCGAACGGTAAAAAGCTAGCCTCCTGATTTACAGTGCTAACTAAAACTTATTTATTCTTAATAGAGAAAATATTTTTATAGTAGCTATTCAAATATATAAAATCCTTTTACAGATTGTAAATCCGGAAATTCGATAATCTCTTTAGTGTTAGCATATTAAGCCCATTTCCGAATATGCTTTTAAATGTCCGAGGTCAGAGTTCAGTACAAAAGGAGCTGTAAAGTTTTATGACAACTAGATCATCATGCACGTTGTCCATGTCTATGGGCTCTCAGTGACCTCAGCTTTGAAAAGTTAACAACCAGCATGATTAACTCCATGATAAAAATTCTCTATGTTGCTTCTAGTCAAACAAACAGATTTGTCAAGGCTCCCCTCTACAGCTTTGCATTTAAAAGACTGATTGCTTTACTGATTAAAGCTCGACTTCATATATTCTGTACTAGACAAATGTTTCAAGTGTTATTCTCAAACCCAGTTAAGTCAGTATTTATTTCTATTGGTGCTATGCTTAAAGAGACTACGGGTTCACCCAATCTGAGGACGAAACAAAGATTCTGTGATACGATGATAGATAAGCTAGCGATTCCGACACGTCCGAGCTCCGCTAACTAGAGAGAGAAGTCCAAGTTGGGAAAATGGAAATATATTCCACAAGCAGTCAGAAGCACGAACAATAACAACACACACAACGTAGGCGTATATATACAGAATAAAAATATCCTTGGGAAGCGTTACAAAATAACATACTAAAAGATACAACGAACCGATAGCGTTTAAGATCCTCCTAAGTGCGAAATACAACATGAAGGTAAAAATGAGCGCTTTTGGAGCGAAAACAAAAAATTCAATTTTTTAAAATAGAATTTACCATGTGAGTTCTGAGAATATAACATCACCAATAATTGGCTTTGATTGACATATTCAGTATGCGATCCGAAATTAGCTTATATATATCTAACGAACTAAAAAACCAAGTCACAGTTTGATAGAATTGTACAAATTAACAGATAAAACAGGTAATTCAAAGAAATCTTTCTCTACTCTATTCAAAATGTTGATCATCCTTCTGGGATTTCTAATAAAATATTTACGAATACAATCCCTTTTTTCTCCAAAAAAATCAAAGCTGCATTTGTTTACAGCAAAGTAAACAATAATTGATACTCGAGCCAAAATTGGATGTAATTGTGATGATCATGATGATAATAATAATAGTGATAATACTAATACCGTAAAAGGAAACTGTACTACTGCAGAAAGCCCTTATTAATATTCAGTAATGATTAACTATTCATCTAAAATAATGAATAACATTAAATAATTCATGGAATTTTATTCATATAAATCTATTATAATAAATGAATTATAGATGTGTGTATAATTTTAAAACTAAGGGTACATAAAGAATGGAAATAAACATTTTAAACGTTCTTATTTATTCATTATATATTCTGTTTAAGATGGATATTCGACCAGGGGAGAAGGAAATATAGTTATAACAGAAAAGTAAAACACAGTATACGTGTTTAATGTCGTCAGTATAATTAAACTAATATGAGTTTTAAGTTACACTTTGTTTGATATTCCACTAATCATAATAATAATAGTAATATTGAAAAGCATATATGATACCTAAATTGAAGAACATATTGCGTAGTGTGAATATTTGAAAAGTTACCGGATATCATATTGTCGTGATGAATTTCTCTATTGGTAAACTTTAACAACAGCTTACCATGCATTAAACACATAACATATTGTTGAATTCTTTAATTCGATCCCCATATGATATGATCCCTCTATATCAATATGGGGATCTGGGGAGATTGTAGTATTCTTAACAGATGAATTCACAAATCGATCTATGTTTCAAGATGAATTTCCTAGAGTTCTGATGAAAAGCCGTGACTAGTAGAGTTTTATTCATGCCGGATGTGAGACACTGAAGACCTCGGAAGATGGTCGTACAATGCCGTGGATTGATTAAAGTTAGACATTAACACCGTTAGATGCTGGCTCAGTTGTCTAAAGATTGAGAATTCGTGTGAGACCAAAGGTCTTGGGTTTGAGTCCTGAGTACGGGTGTTTGTGGATATGCACTGGTGAGAATTCCCGTACTAAGATGAAACGACCGTCCAGTTCTTCTAGCTTTTCAATTGTGCTCTAGCTAAGATCGACTCATAGATTCAATTATTGAAATAAATAACAGTTTAAAACTTTGTTTCTGTTAATCAAATGTATTTATCAACCCATCTACATACATGATAATCTTCAAGATTTTAATTAATATTCTCATAATCATTTTATGAATTTGTCAGATTTGGCTAGAAAAAGAAAGACAATAAAAAAAAACATTTTTTTAAGTTTCATTAAAAAAATATCAGACTTTAACAAACTAAATAATAAACGAATAATTTCTCAAAATTATTTTTTACCTAATCCGTAAAACAAAACATAGTTTCTAAGATAAAATTTCACTAAAAAAATGCATCATAATATTCTAATTCATTTTTGTAATGCTTGTTTGAATCTTGGTATTGATGTTTAGGACTGCAACTGATCAGTTTATTGTTGGGATTTGTACATCCTGTACGGCTCGCCATGATATTGCCTTAAGTAAGGAGCTGTGTAATCAGGGATGTATAGTGGCAAGCAGTGGAATCCACAGCTCATGTTTTGTCCTATTTGAGACTCGTCAGCTAAATGTAACTGCATCTCAGAGTTCATGCGGATAACGTGGTGGAGTTCGAAGCAAATGGTACTGGGTTTAATTCTTTGAAAGAATATCAACTCTGAGATCTAGACGAAAGGCGCCTTCTGGATTCCGCCACTAGCCACAATCAATCTTTTGCTTATAGTGTTTGATTCTTAATACTAATGAAAACCAATTTATTTCTCCTGTTTTAAATATAAGAAGTGAAGTAGAATTTTTTTACTATTTTAGGTGACATAAGTCACAGAATGACTTTAGTTATGATATTGCTACAAACACACACAATATCCTCAAGGCCGTAACTGTGGTCGGTGTCTCAAATATACCATCTTTAAAATTAAATCAATCCACACAAAACCCTATTAAATAATCTTGTTTTTTAATGAGAGTTTTATCTAGTTTATCTGATTACACCACAAAATTTCAATTATATGTTCCGTTTCATAACATATTGAGTAGTTTAACCAAGGACACGATCACTGAATTAGTGGATGAGGGGTTTTCTTCAAAAAGATAATTAACGTTAAAAAAAGTTAACATGTTGCATTGGCAAGTATCTCTAGTTTATGTTAAATGAATATAATGAATTTGATTCATAAAATTAAATATATAGTAATGTAGTGAAAATAAAAGGCAATGCAGCATACTGTAAACAGTGATTTTGAACATCTAACAAGTAACCAATTATTACTGAGGTATATAATATGGACACACATTTTGAAATTTACTTACATAACAAAAATTGAATATTACAATGTAATAAAACATAACATGTTGTTGAATTCTTTAATTCAATTTCCGCATGACATAATCCCTCTATATAAGTAAGGAGATCTGTGGAGATTGTAGTAGTTTTAACAGATGAATTCAAGATGAATCCAGATGAATTCCTGGAGTTCTAATGAGAAGCCGTGACCAGTGGAGTCTTATCCGTGTCGAGATAGTTATCCACCGAAGACAATGGAAGATGGTCGCACAATACCGAGGATTGGTCGAAGTTAGATTAGATCGTCATCAGTTGACTACATGATTATGATATGAGTCATATGTGTTTTAATGAAGGCCCTGATGTATTAAAATCGTAATAATAATACGATTTTATTATTTGTAAATATCTAGTTTGTTTCAAAATGTTCACCGAGTTTCTGAGTTTTTTCAATCTTATGAAAGTCATTTCTGAAAAAATAGATACACTTCAACGACAATTATTATAAAGGTAAGAACGTTAAATGAACACATCGAATAAAGTAGTCAGAAACTAGTTCAACCAAGAGAAGAGTCAAACAAACAAAGAAAAACATGACACTTCCCTGAATAATCAATATTTTGAGATTAGATTTTAATTACACTTTTATTACTAAGATTTTTCAGTGAGATCATAATTTATGGACATTTATGTCGCTAAAGTGACCTTGAGAGTGTCTACATGATAACTAAGACCAAATGAGGGTTATAAATTAGCGTGAGGAATTCAAATTATTATTTACAGTTGATGGTTAATGTTAGGATTTAGATTCAGTGTTTTCATCACTAACTGACATCAGCTATAATGCCAAGATTCTATTTAGCTAAATGGATGAGTGAGTTTCGCGCCAAAAGTTGATACCTTTTATCTTATACCTGATTGGTTCGTTCATAAATTATAGTCTTGCCGAATTTTCAATGCCCATTGTTAACATTTAACTTAATTGTGTTCTCATCAAAAATAATTTATAGTTCATTTTAAAAGCACTTTATACTAATAAGTGTAT